CGAAAATAAGAAGAAAGGTAAGAGGAAAGAAGAGGAAGAGGGAGGAGAAGCAGTAGAACACAAGAGTTGAAAGGAGGAGCAGAAGCTTAATGTTCTGCCGCTGCCACTTTAATTAATATTTATAGGTTATGCTCATTACATGGAAAGTACAGATCTGCCCTTAGTCTTTACATAACAAATAGAGCAAAAAATAAGACTGAAATAAATGACAACTGAAACAACTAAATGACCAATAGCTAACCCTAGGCAGACTAGAACATCTTCTACCCTACGAACACAATGGGACCGTAGCTGTGGGGCCCACATCAGTGTTCTCTACATTTACCAAAGTAAAACAAGCAACTCTGATAAAATTGGAGACCAAAAGAAGTGTTCAGTTCTAGCAATCACTGTCTTCCGTGGTGCTGTTGTGATAAACTGATAACAAGGGACCAGGTTCATAGAATTTTTTCCTCTTCTTGAGAAAACCCATAGGCCCTTGTTGTTCATGCTTGGATGAGGATTTTCAGGTTAGATGAGACCACCAGTATCTTCCAAAAGTTTTATATAGTTGGCGGTATACCTTGTAATAGTGGTAAAACAATAAGAAAATTCACTAACTGTAGCTAATGGAAGGCGCTTTCCAGCAATTGTTTGAAGAATGTCAATCAAAAGTGAAGAACAATCCCTTTATAGAAATCAGCTATGGAGAATAGTAAAGAAAACTCAAAACTTTATTGCAACAACCAGAAAATATATCAACAGATAAAGATAATATATACTTTCTAAATCCTACAAAATCTTTATAAACTTCCTAAACTGCCCTTGATCATTCTGTACTTGTATTTTGTTCCGAAATCTATTAATTGAACTCCCTAAATTCTTTAAAAGAAAGAAGACACAGCTAGACAGTTTTCTACCTCTAACCAAAACTTTACTATCACTCACACATGCCTTAGCCAAACAGTAAGGTGCACTGGTCAAACATTTGATTTGACCATTGACTGTAATCTGCAGTCTTCAGAAAGTCGTATTGTGCCTTTTGGTGAGATGCACTGGTCAATCTTAAAGACTGTCCAGACAACAAAGTTACTTCCATTTAATTTTATGGAAGTCATCCGAAATGATATGAAATCAATAAACAGCATGATATTAAAATAATCGTCACCCATTCTAGCTTAGGTTCCGTTCTCTTTCACCAAATTCTAGCTTAAAATAATCATCACCCATTTGTTCACCACTTTTTCTTGCTTCACTTCACAAATCACAGATTATACTTCACAGAAAAGGTCTTTTAGACCGTCAACCAGATCTGCTCACCTATAATTCTATTACACTAAGCCAAACAGCAACTTCAATCACCTGAGTCCAGAGTTCGTGATCAAGTATTCTTCACAAACAGCTTCATAATCCCTCACAATCTGTGCCAATAAAAAGTATAATATCGCTTAAGTATAATATCGCTTAACACCATCACAACAATTATTGTGATGGATTATACAATCACTGAATGCTCCGAGAGCAGACCAGGACTGATGTACTTGCAGTTTTTGAAGCAAAGGAATGTTGGAGGAAAGATCACAGCTGCAACAGAGATGTACAGATTATGCTGTATATGGTGTGCAGAAACAGGTGAAAAAGAAAGAGAATTGTAGAGAGAGAGTGTGTGTTGTAAAGAAAAAACATATATTCCTCCAGATCTAAATTAAAATAAACAATACACACAAATAATGTAAATACTAATCAACAGCCTCTTAAATTACAGTAATCATATCAGTTATATTAGGGAATTTGTCACGGCTGATAGTGATCTTTACCGAGCAATTAATTGGCAATTTGTCATGGCTTTTCAGCATGAGACACAAATCATTGAAGATGGATTGGCACTCCCAGGCTTCCCACCCATCTCTTCTAGAATTGGATCAAGTGAGGATGATTTTATTGACTCTGATGACATGGAAAATAGTCGCCCTTGTATTCGACCAGCTGCAGTAGGAAATCTGTCCTTCATGGACCCGAAGACAATGTTGATCCCAACAGGGCGGATGAAACGAGAGTTGAGAGTTGAGATGGCGGCATCTTCCTCATGGATGGTTCCATAGAAGGGTATACAAATATATTTATTCTGCAAGATCAAGTTATATTTCTTTTTTATTTTTTTATTTTTTCCTATTTCCTCACAACTTTTGGATAGTAGCAAGGACTGGCAAGCCAAACAGTAAGTACATGGTTCCCTCTTCCCTCTCAATTGCTCTGAGCGCCATGATAAGAAAACGTACCAAAGTGACCAAGCCTTAGTCCAACTATTTTTAGTCTGATTTCTCAAATCCTTCTCCATTCTCTGTATAGGCTAGTAGCTTGAAACAAATGGGATTCCTGTACAGGAGTTTTGTACAAGTTTCTTTTTCAACTTTATCTGGACTTGGTGGTGGTGCATAAATGGCTCTTGAGTGATATGGTGTGACAGGATTCTTGCAGCTTATCCAAAAATAGTTGGAATTAGAGCTTTATTGAATTAAGCTGGGACCTTTTATCTGGGCTTGGTAGTGGCAGTGCAAGACAGGATCTACAAAATTCTTATTTGGGATGGAAACCTTTACTCGATAGAAACAGTTCACCAGTAGATTATATGCAACTTGCCCCTACACTACAATTTATTCAGAGTACTGTTTGATATGGCCTCCTAAGCATTTTTCATGAATATCGTGTTCCAGTTTATATTTTCTTTATTTTCCCATTGCATGGAAATTCATTGCTAATGCAACCTAGTGTGGGATTAATGCAGGATCCTCTTGAGCCAGTTTTCTTGTTCACAAGACCTCTAGATCCTGGAAAATTTGCTGCTGCAGGCATTGCACCACCAACTCCTCCAGTTGATAATGAGACATCTAAACTGCGATACCGTTTTCATGGAAGAATTGGTCGTGGAGGGCGGATAGTATTTGATCGATGGAACCATCTCCTGAGATCTCCAAGTAGCCATGATAACTCATGTATCCCACCAAATCCCAGGCCTCTACCACACTTGGTCGAGAAATAGTTCTTCCCACTTTCCTTCATGTTTCGGTACAGGTGAATCTGGACCTAGAAAATCTCAATGGAAATGGAATCTCTTTGTTTTGGGATGCTACAGTGGGGCTGGCATAATTACAGAACTTTGGAGGCCTGGTCCGGGTATGTCTTTACAAGTGGTGGCAAAGCCACTTCCACGACCAAGCTTGTAGAAATGGATGTATCTTGCTTGGCATGCTTTTTCCAGGCGATGTGGGTAGTTTGAAAAGTTAACGAGTCTGCCCGGACTTGCCCTAGCCCGTCATTTGTACAATTATTGCCATCTTGCTAATATAACTCAGCTTCATGGTCTTACATTGTGGGTCTTTCTCTCTCTCTCTCTCTCAATCTTTCTTGCAAGTGTGTATATGTGTATGCACTCTTTGCTATCTCTCTATCTTGCAAGTGTGTATGTGTGTATGCACTCTTGCTATCTCTCTATCTTGCAAGTGTGTATGTGTGTATGCACTCTTGCTATCTCTCTATCTGCCATTTGCATGGGATTTTTCTAAACGTGGGCACTGCAGCAAACAGGAAAGTTCCCTAGATCCTCTGCCTATCGATATGCAAATGTATCATGCCATGCACGATTTATCCTATTGTTTAACCAACTTGTTTGATGCCATTGGTACGAGAGTTTGTGTTCACTATAAGTAAATAATTGAACAAAGATGCCAAAAAAAGAGCATCATACCATCACCATGTTAGAAATGAATGCATCATACAGGTGCTGCTTGATAGGGTACAAAAGTTATATTTTGCAGGTTTTCAATTTGGATTGGTTTGTAAATTTTCCTAAACGAGCTCGAAACTCGAAAGGAGTTCAGGGTGTTTGTGTGGCAAAGCAGTTTTGAGCTCAAAAGGAGTCTTCAAATTCCTCTCATCACTTGGAAAAAATTTTGGCTAAAAACATGGTCCAAAGTACTGATTCTCTCAACCAACCGAGGGATGGCTCGTTAGTGTGTTAGCTGGTTTGTTCCAACGTTGATGCAGAATCAAATCCTGCAATCAGTGCTTTGGGAAAAAGGGGTCAGGGCAAAGTTATTAATGGTGCATAGCACTGAATACCAAAAAAAAAATATTGATTCTCTCGATATAGAAAAAAATACTTTTTTTTTTTTTATTTTCCCTTGATTTCTTGTCGTTAGACACACTATACCATGAGTTATTTTAAACAAATTAAATTGGGAATATGTTGAGTTGTCATATCATGAGTTATGTTTCCATTTGTGGGAAGATGTTCCCAATGGATGGTTGCAACAAGGTGCCAACCAGTTGGTTGGTAAGGTCTCATGCTGGTTGTAGTGGAGACTTGGCATCGAATTCCACCTGCACCTGTGTGTTATCCCCTATTGTGTGATCCTTTCACAAGATATCAAAAAAAAAAAAATAATACAGGGTTGCAAGGGTTGTGAGGCATGTCTGAGGAGAAAATTCAAATTCCCCATTTATTGTGTGAAATAATAAAAAAAAAGTTTGAAGGTTTCTTTGAAGACTCTTCAAATTTGCTGGTTGTAGATTATTGCCCAAGGCTCTATTATACCATGGGAACGGATTTGCTTGTAACCTAACAGCAAACTCAGTATAACTGAGTGGGGGCAAATAACGTTCTAAAGACAATGTCTTTAGACTCGCCTCAGAGCTTCTCTTCCAAGTTTCAGTGATTCCAATTCCCAATAGTCCCTCAAGGAAATGGAGATCCAAACAAGTTCCAGGCATCGCCATTGTTGAGTCTTGAAGAAAAGCAAAACAAGTTCCTTGAATCTCCATCAGCAAATCTTAAAGGCGATCCAAAAAGGACCCTTCTGTCGCCATTGTTGAGTGTTGCAAGTGAGCCGAACAGTCTTCCCCCTTGTTCGATATCGCATACCAACAAATCTGCGACGAAAGAGCACCGACGTCGTTGGGTCTGGTCTAATTAATCTATTTGTTGATTTGTGGATTATTATTCATTTCTAGAGAGAAAAAAACGACTATAAGAACAAATGGCGTACAAAAACCTACGTGTACGCTGAAACACAGGATTTTTAGTGATAAATCATCAGATGTTCCATAGAAGACCAAATTTGATACCCATTAAGAAAACCAAGATCAAAAGAAAAAAAATGGGGAAGATTTGAGTAAACGGAGAGACCACCTTGCTTCAGTTCCTAAGGATGAGGTTGAGGGGGAGAAACAACTCTTAACTTTAATGGTTGTCTTTACAACTGAAATTGAAACTTGGAAAAACTTCGTGTGAATAAGAAAATGGTGAAATTTGAAATTTAAAAAGAGTGGTTGAAATTGAAACTATACCCAGGATTAACACTAGACTCAGATTTAATACTTTTAATTAGTCCAAAGCTAAATACAAAGCTCGATTTTCAAATTGGAATTAATCAATTACTACAGGGATGAAATGAGATCACATCAACACCCCATGTGTATTAAAAACTCCCGTAATTGTCATCAGGAAATGTTTCTAATACATGGTTGGGATGTATTGTATGACGTTTTAGGGTGGCCCCACATATGTGAACTTGAAAAGAATGTGCCCTGGATCATGGTACGATCTCTTTGCAGGACATCCACGTACATGAATTAAATTACAAACCTTTTGTATGCATATGAGAGGGAGACTTTGCTGGACATTCAAACGTAGATGCGAGGACTTCAAGGTCTATTGATTCCAAGCTTAGGTGGGGTGATATCCATGACATTGGCTTCTGAATAGGTGATTCAGTCCAGATTTTTGATGAGTTCCTAAACTGTTTTAAGCTGACAACAACAATAAAATATACAGAGAGGTACGGATTTGCCTAATGCAGATTTCTGATTTCTACTGCAGAGAGTTATAAATATTCAAAAGGTTCACAACCCACATTATGCATTAACGCCCGCCTGTGGATTGGCATCAATTCTGAGCTGGCACCTACCCCAACAGTACTTTGAGCCTACAAATTCTAACCCTGGACTGATCGGTCATTCTCCCAATATAGTCCCACGTAAGCTAGAATCATCCTAGTGTAACCCCTAGAAGACTCAACAGAAAACAAGCGAGCTGATATCAACCAACCCCAGGGACTTTCTATTACCCCAAATCATGGCCACAATAGGCAGGCAATGACGCCACTGGAAACGAAACTATCGGTCTTTAAACGGCTGAATGACATGATTGTTGGCAGTACTAAACCCAAATCTTGACAACAGAGACCTGATAGTGAAATTCTAGAGGTACCGAACAGGCCTGATATTGACAACAGGAGGCTGGCGGAACTCAACCCAGGCTAAGTGTTTCTCCTAAGACTTCTCTAGAGAATAAAGAAAAAAGACAGAAATACAGACTTGCCATACAGCTGGAGATTGTCCCGTCAGGATTTTCAACGCCCTTGGATGCTAAACAGACCACTCTCCCCGCGTTATACAATGCTGGTCCAGCTAGGAGTCGAAGGATGATTGTACGCTCCAGGCTCCCCTAAGCTTCTGACTTCGCGAACAAGTTCTAAGTTGCACCTCTATACAGAAGCTTAAACATAATTTCTTAGGCTGTCAGTGAACCTTCCACTGTTCCGCACTCCCAAGAGGAAAACTCGGAGATAAAATATGCAGCCTGAACTCTTAAGGATGGCACACTCTGGTAGAAAAGACCCTTCACGAGCCCTTCCCGCATGCCACAAATGACCCACGAATAGGAAGAATCCTAGAACAAAATGAGAGGTAGCTAACCAACTTCTAGGAGAGACATAATTGACTGCATTGATCTCGGTAGCTACGCCACCCACATAATTGACTGCATTGATCCTCTGTCTCAGTTAAGAGGGGTCATGGAAAGAACAGGTTCAAAATCACGATCAATTCCTTTTTCAAATCCTGCTGCAGCTGCACGAGCTATGTTTGATACCAGCTCTGAATTCCGAGTTGTTTAAACACCTCAAATTGAAACCAATGGTGGGTACAACCCCAAGCAACTTGACACCATTCAAGTATGGTCTCCTGGAACAAAAATGAATCTATTGGAAAGTCTTGTTAAATTGGGATACCATGGTCCATGGGCAACTTAAACCCTATATACCTAACAGAAGTGGAAACTAGGTTCCCAAGAGATGACTATCTTGGCAGCATTACAAAGGACATAACACGAGACCAACTACACGGTGAGATAATCAAACCCGAAAGAGATCTCGATGGGTTTCTCTTTTCTATACAAAAGACTACAAAATGTGATCCAACGAATGGAGATCATTGAGGGCAAGTCTACATCAAATTGGGATGATTGAAGATTGGGAAATTGTAAAACCTTACTACCAACGCCACGGGGATAGACCCAACGACTTGAAGAGAAAAAGAAAAAAACTCACAGGATTGAAATTGCAACTATACTTGGAACTTTCAGTTTTCTTCTCAAGACTTGAAAGAGGGAACCCAATCTTTTTTTTTTTTTACTTATTTTACATTTTTTTACTTAGCAACATACCTTCATCAAACTTTCCAAGATAAACTCCAAGCAATTTAAGTCATCCTAGCATCTCAATTTTATTTATCAATCATCATTTCTCATTTTCCGCTTTCTTCTTTTTTACATTACTCATTTTCTTCTTTATTTTTTTTTTCACTTGATAGCATTATCTTCTCCAAAAAACAAGATATACTGGAATAAGCTCCAAAAGAATTGATGCATGACAAGAAATCCACTCATGCTATTATTTTTCCACAATTTCCGATCCCCTTACTTTATTATTATCATTTATTTTTTTATTTAGTAGTCATCATTATATATTTCTGATATTTTTGTGCTTTTCTTCTTTTTTCTTTTTTTCTCTCTTTTTTTTTTATTTTTCTTTTGAGTTTTTTATTCTTTTTTAGTTTTTAATGATTTTTTAAATTTTGATAATTTGGATTATTTTATATTTTATATCTTACTTTTTTCCTTTTATTTTGTCTTTGTTTTTTCTCTTTCTTTTTTTTCTGTTCTTAAAACAAAAGTCCCCTTTCAATCTTTAAATTTTTCCTTTTTCTTTTTTTTTTTATTTTTAATATTATTTTTTAATTTTTTTGTTATTTTTATGTGTATTTGTGCTATTACTACCTTTCTCATCTTGATTAATCAAAAGAAAATTACTACATTTCCTATTCCATTTTATTTTAATTTTTTCTTTTTTCTTTTTTCTTCTGTTTCTTTCTTTTTTTCTTCCTTTTTATATCCTATCATGTTTTGTTTCCTTTTTTTTTGCTATCCACAAAGTGCTCAACAATCAACACACGTGTCCTATCCTAAACGAGGGTAGCTTCTCTATTCCATTCTAGATACAAAATTGGGTTTTAAGTGAAAAATGCATGGGTCAATACGATTCATCTCTAGACACAAGGATCCAACAAGGTAGCCAGCCTTCAAACCTCCACCCGTTGGACAAGCGGGCTTCTCAAGTTGGTGGTTGGTTTTTCGGTTGTCGATGTTGTCCAAATGGCCTAGCATATACTTTCCCCCCTCCTATTAGGAAATAGGACACTAGAATCTAATGCAAATGGTGAGTGAGATCAAGCATGCAAAAGGTGAAGTAAGAGAAACATAGCTAAATACATCATCATATATAAAATGTAAATAACAAGATCAATAAACAAAACTAAACATTAAGCAAAGAGCACATT